TGGAAATAAAGGCGGTAAGAAAAAGGAGATGATTATGGTGGAAGTTAAGGGAATTATCGGGAAGTATGAACGAGGTACGTGAGTGGCCAGAATTGGAAGACTTTGTAAAGAAGTCTATGTCTGCATCTTGTCAGCAGAGGAGGAGGAGGAAAAGGCGGAAGGAATCCCTCACTTCAAATGACATTAGGGAGATGTGTCAAATGTGGGAAACAGTGCAAAATTTTGTGGAAAAGCACCACCCAAATAAAGCTGGAGCAGTGCGAGCGATGTATCTGTTTAACGACAATGCAGCATCACATTTCCCCGAAATCCTCAAAAGGAGGCAAAAGCAAGTGTCATTGGATAGATTCCTTGTTAAAGAGGCACAAAAAGAAAGATTCCATTGAGCCAATAGATAGCAGTGATTCCATTAGTGGTAGTTAAAGTTGTCCTACACAATAACCCTCCACTCTCTTGTCTCCTTCTCACCAGCCACGAAGGTTTTCAAAGGTAAGTTCAGGTTAATTTGTTTATTTTTCTTTATATTTTGTATGTTCTTTATTATTTTGTATTCTATTACAGGATTGTAATCATTTTTTTTTTAATTTTTTTTTTCAACGTTTATTTATTTTTGGGACAGAGAGAGACAGAGCATGAACGGGGGAGGGGCAGAGAGAGAGGGAGACACAGAATCGGAAACAGGCTCCAGGCTCTGAGCCATCAGCCCAGAGCCCGACGCGGGGCTCGAACTCACGGACCGCGAGATCGTGACCTGGATGAAGTCGGACGCTTAACCGACTGCGCCACCCAGGCGCCCCTGTAATCATTTTTATATGAATATTTTTTGGGTTGTGGAATGGAATCATCTGAGTTTCCATGATTTCTTATGGGGAAATTCTCTTTGATATACAAGTGCTTTGGATTACAAGCATATTTCTGGAACGAATTATCCTCACAAACCAAAGTTTTACAAACGTGTGTGTGTGTGTGTGTGTGTGTGTGTGTGTGATATACAAAATTATTCAGCCTTAAAAAAAGAAATCCTGCCATTTGCAACAACACAGATGAAACTAGAGGACATTATCTATGTGAAATAAGCCAGACCAGAAAGAAATTTCTCATGATATCACCATTGTGGAATCTAAAAAAAAAATGTCGAGTTCATCGTAACAGAGTAGAATGGTCATTAGCAGAGGCTAGTGAATGCCGGAAAAGGGGAGACATTATTGATAAAAGGGTATGAATTTTCAGTTATAAGATGATTAAGTTCTGGAGACCTATTGCACATATAGCTCGGTGACTATGGTTAACACTAATGTATTAAGAGAATGGATAAACAAACTGGTCTGTCTGTATAGTGGAATATATTCAGCAATACAAAGCAATGAATTATTGATATATACTACAACAGGGATGAGTCTCCTTTCATTCACAACTTGGGAAAGATGCAAACTAATCTACAGTGGTAAAAGACAGATTAGTAGGTGCCTGGGTGGTGCAGTCAGTTAAACACCCGACTCTGGATTTCAGCTCAGGTCATGATCTTATGGTTTGTGAGTTCGAGCCCTGTATTGGGCTTTGTGCTGATGGTGTAGAGCCTGCTTGGGAATCTCTTTCTCTCTCTCTCTCTTTCTCAAAATAAATAAATAAACTTCTGTTTTTATAAAAAAGGCAGATCAGTGGACGCCTAGAGAAAGGTGAATGGGAGGGGCAGAGGAATAGTACAGAGTGCACAAGTAAACTTTTGGGGGTGATGAATATGTTTATTTCCTAGGTGGTGGTGATGTTTTCACTGGTGCATGCATGTATGTTATTTATACATCAATAAAGCTATTAAAGGGGCACCTGGGCAGTTCAGTTGGTTAAGCCTCTGACTCCTAATTTCCGCTCAGGCCATGACCTCACGAATTGTGAGATGGAGCCCTTCATCTGGCTTCGAGCTGACGGTGTGGAGCCTGCTTTGGATTCTTTTTCCCTCTTTCTCTGCCCCTCCTTCTCTCCCTCTCCTTCTCAAAATAAGTAAATAAACATTAAAAAAATTAAAAAAACAGGGACACCTGGGTGGCTCAGTCGGTTAAGTGTCCAACTTCGGCTCAGGTCACGATCTTACAGTCTGTGAGTTCGAGCCCCAAGTCAGGCTCTCTGCTGACTGCTCGGAACCTGGAGCCTGGATCAGATTCTGTGTCTCCCTCTCTCTCTGCCCCTCCCCCTCTGTTTCTCTGTCTCTCAAAAATAAATGAACATTAAAAAACTTTAAAACTTAAAAAAATATAAGCTATTAAGAAAATAACATAGGGGTGCCTGGGTGGCTCAGTCAGGTAAGCGTCTGGCTCCTAATTTTGGCTCAGAACATGATCTCACAGTTCGTGGGTTCTAGCCCCGCATTGGGCTCTGTGCTGGCAGTAGGGAGCCTGCTTGGAATTCTCTCTCCCTCCCTGTTTGCCCCTCCCCTGCTCTTGCTGTGTGTCTCTCTCTCAAAATAAAAAAATAAACATGAAAAAAATTATTAAAAAAAATAAATGAATAAAAATAAAAACATATACTCGGGGGATGCCTGGCTGGCTCAGTCAGCAGAGCATGTGACTCTTGATCTGGGGGTCGTGAGTTCAAGCCCCATGTACAGTGTGGAGCCTACTTACAAAAAGTAATAAAATGAAATGAAATAAAAAAATGTATACTTGAAATTTGCTGAGAGAGTAGATTTCAAGTGTTCTCACCACCCCCCGCCCTCCCACACGAATGGTAACTATTGGAAGTGTTGGATGTGTAAATTCGTTTGCGGCAATCATTTCACAATGTTTATATCAAAAGTTCCACATATATATGCTTTAAGTATATACAATTTTAATTAAAGATACATGCAGATTAAAAATCCGTGAGTATGAATTCATAGCTGTGTTTTCTTTCTCTGAGTTATAATCCCATACGGTTTATTCGTTTTCTTGCCCTAATTGTTTCATTTTTGGCCATCGGGAGCATTGTCAGGTTGGTTCC